AATTTATAAAACAACTTTTTTGTTAAATTTATTGAGAAAAAAATTTTTTTTTCTTTCTGTTTTCGCCTTTTTACGTTTATTTTAAAAGTTAAGCGGTGTTGGAATAAGTTGAGAAAAAAATTTGTGGCTGAACAGACAGTAAATTAGTGGAGCAGATAGAATTTGTTGAAATATTTGTTTATTCATTTGTTTATCTATTAAATTTATTTATTTCAAACTTATATAAAACTGTTTCTTTTTTTTTTTTTACAGAGAGCACATTTCTTAAGAGCGGAATGGACATCAAAATTGCAACGATTGGTAAAGATAGCAAAATCATATTCAGCCGGAAAACAGTATGACGAGTTAAGATTGAATTTTGTCTACAGATTAGCTTAGTGTTAACTAATAAAAACAAAGTACAGTAACTTTTTTTTTTCTATTTTTTTGCTAAACTAAACATCAAAATTTATTTTCAGAGTAAATCTGTTATTTTTGAAAATTTTTTTCGCACATTTTAAACAGGAAATTATTACCCAAGAACGCTCATATAGCCTATTTTTATTACTCGGTATGTTACCGTTACTGCATCCTTTTATTTTACTTTTCTCAAAATCAGTTTTTTGTTTTGCAGATTTCTGGTTTTTTTTTCTTACACATTTTCATTATAATTTTCATTGATGTATACAATTGATAAAATACTACAATTATTCTATCTTTGCTTTCCTTCTTTTTTTTTTTTTCAACTTTTATCATTTTGTTGCTAATTATCGCTATGTGCAGAAATTATCATTGATGTAAGTTTTAAGTTTTAATTTAGCCGAAATTGGTGGAACAATTGGCCTCTACGTTGGTGCATCGTTGTTGACAATCGCTGAAACAGCAGTATTTTTTATTGAACGAAAAACACGAAAAAATGGACAAATATATAACGAAGTTGTAGTAAATTAGTATTTCTCCTTTTGTTCCTCTCTTTTTTTCCTTTTTTTTTTTTTTTTTGTTTTGCTTTCATTTTTGCATACAACTGATTGTTCATCTGTGCGTAATAGTAGTTTAACTATGAAAAAAAAAATTTGTTTGCAATAGTTTTTCTGCTTTTTTTTTTTTCTGTTAGTACTTCAAAGATCAAAAGAACAAAAAAAAAAAAAAAATGTTCAATGACAAATTTATTTAGCCAAAAAAAAAATTTTTTTGTTAATCAAAAAAAAATGTACATCATTGTAAAAGACGACAACAAAAAACAAAAACTTCTATAATTAAAAAAAGTTTATTTAATTCAACTATAAATAGATTGGAATTGTTCTTGATTGTTTTTTTTACAACAATTTAGCATTGATTTTGTTGACTGTAAATGGAAGTTTTACATTTTTAAATGAATAACCTGTTTACAAGTTGCAAAAAACTTTATTCTTTGATAAGCACAAAAAAAAGCGTTTTTAGAAACATTACCTATGCTTTTATTGTAACTTATTTTTCTTTAATGACAACTAAATATTTGGCAATAAAAATGTTGTATCCAGTGAATAAATTCAACTTCTGTCAGCAGCTGTGTAGCCCATCTGAAACTGAGAAAAAAAAAAAAAACAGGAATAATGATTATCTCTTTGGTAAGCTATAAAGTTGGCTTATCATTTTTTTTACTGACAAACCAAAATTAACGTTAGCTTAACTTGTGTTAGCAGCTAACAAGGCTGGTAAACTGCTAAGAAATCGAAGAAACCGCAAAAAAAAACAGAAGTTAAAGTTTACATATTAGAAAACTCATTTAAAAAAAAATAATGGTTAACAGAGTACATTGGGTATAACCTACATAAAATTCCCATTATAAAATGAGTTTATTCTGTGGCGGAAAGAGGAGAAAGGCTATACGATAGAAATAGTGTGATTTTATGGATAATCAAATACACGTCAGCTGAATTTTCTTCTTGGAAATAAAGGTAAAAAAGAGAGGAAGAAAAAAGAAGAAGGGTTGAAAATTTGAAAAAATTAGCATTTACAGCGTCGGAAGAAGTATTTGTTGCTTGTTGGGAAGACAGTAGATTGAAGATTACGAGAAATTGTACAAATTTAGTACCATCCATCTTTCCAGCAATTAGCATACAATCGGTTCATTTTCATG